ATATATTCACAAACGGAAGAAAAATCAGCAGAAAGCGATCGGTAACTAGAGACTAATAATCGCCAGCCTCATGCATGTCTAGATTTTTCCAAGCAAGTCTCATTCTGTCTTCAATTAAAACCAGAGAAGCTGTGAGAGCCAGTGCGACGGAGACACCTGTACGTGCTTTGGACATATGCCCCATGAATATCTCCTGCTTGATGCTGCTGCATGAGGAAAGACAATTATTCAGACATTGAAAAGAGACCGTGGAATTCAAAGGTCGAGAGAAACAATGACTGAACACTACTGTTTTTCCAGTGTTACGAATGAGAAACATGATTGCTGGAAATTGAAGGCACGTAGATCTTTGTAATAATGTCGTCTCCTATTTGTGCCCTTTGATTTAATGTGAATTCAAACTGTTAGCCCATGTCTATTATATTAATACTGTTTTGCATGGTGGAAAATTATAGTTAGAGCATGAACAAGCAATTGGTGAACGCATGAATGAATTTATACAAACAAGAAATAAGAAGGAAGACGATTATACATTATATCTGGTATTGAAGGTTGAGATATGCCATTTTACGAATCATTTTCTATCTCTTGGTAAAGAGGATATCAATTACTGATTATTAGTTTATTTGATCAATATAATTTGTTTTTGTATTTCATAAAAGCTTTTTATTATATCTAGTATGTCATCATCTAAAATTACAAATAGTTTTCCAAAACGACTTTGTTCTATTATTTGTCTCAATATATATCTGTTGCAGCCCATTGTAATTGCTCTTGTATTTCCAAATAATAGTGATCATGATCTTAATCCGAGGAATATACTCTAGTTCCTTTACATAGCGTCGAGCTTAATTGGATGAATGAAATACCCATCCAGTCCTTTTTATAAATAAACCATGTTAACTACTTTCCTGAAATTAAGGAAATTAGTTAAATGTTAAATATTTTTACAACTTTAAAAAATTTACCCTTAATCAAATTAAAGCCATTATTTGAGCTAAGACTGAAAGAGATAAGCGTTATTGATATTTCAGTAAATTTTGTTAGGTGTCTTGTATTAAAGATTGATGAGTATTCTCTCCGGACCATAACATAAACATTGATAACTATTTTGCGGCTCTAAAAAAAAAGTTAAATAAGACATTAATCTCTCAAAAAAATTTATATCTTTTCAATAATATCCTCGTTAAACATTTATATTAGTGTTTTAATAATAACAATTAAAATTTTAATATATTTTTTTTAAAATAGAGTATTAAATAAAATAAGAGTATAGTTCAAAAAATAATTACAAAAATTATATAATATTATATATTTTGTACTGAGTAAAGTTTTCAAGAATATCTTATATTATAATTCAGAAAAAGTAAAATTTATGATGTGTTCTACTCACTCCCATCTTCCCACATGACACCCTCTCCTGGACAGGACCTTTATTTTGGCCCAAATCTTTCCGATGTTAAGCAAGTTCAGCCTCTCTCTTTGCCTCACATTGCAAATTTCATCATTGGAGGGCCATGAATAGTATTCTTCCCAGGAGGTAATATTCCTATACACATATATTTTTTCGACGTCACTGTACTGTGATATGACTGCACCCTGCGTTCTATCTTCAATAACATCGATGCCTTGTTTTCCTTTTTTTTTTTTTTTTTTACCTGTCTGATCGAGTTTCATTGCTGTTATGGCTTCGGCTGGCTAGAAATTTTGAAGGACATTACCGTTGAAGTGATGCAAAAACTGAATTATGGAGAAGAGAGCCTGAGTTCTCTCTCATTTTTGCGTCATTTATCTGGGGTAATCTGTTTCTTATAATTGACGTCATATTGTCGTAACAGTTCTAAAGTCTAAACCAACTCACAAGTTAACGCCATATAATCAAAATTCGCCAAACGACGACTTTTCTTGTTTCTGTCGTCGAGGAGCGCGATTTTCCCCAATGTAAGGTTGACATCTGCAATGGCCGGAATTGGATTTTATCGACAAATCAACCGCCCTCTCATCCACTTTCGTTTCAATGCTCTGGACGGCCAGCCGGCGTTTCTAATGAGTGTACAAAGCTTGAGAAAGCTGCAGATTAAACATGAACCCCAAAAAGCGATTCAAGTTTCAGAAACACCCACATGTTGCTATTTGTTTTTCCTGTCCTGTTAATATGTATCTTTAGGCCTAAAACCAGAGAAACTAAAGATGTGTTCTCCAGCTTCAGCGGCGACACCCGTTCTGGCTTTACGAGCCATCTTGAAGAATCTTTTACCAGGAACGATATCACAGCCTTCTTAGACGACCAAATTGAGAAAGGTGCTGATACGTCTCCTACACTTTTACGAGAAATCAAGAGGTCCAAGATCTCAGTCATCATTTTCTCACAAGACTACGCCACTTCAGAGTGATGCTTAGAAGAACCGGTAAATATAATGGAGCGCAAGAGAAAAAGAAAACAGATTGTGATACCCATTTTCTATAGGGTGAGGCCCAGAGAGGTGCGAGAGCAATCTGGGATTTACGAAGCTGCTTTTGAAGAACATGAACAATGTTATCGGCGTCGGAGAGTGCAAAGGTGGCGGAATGCCATGACAGAAGCAGCCAAAGTCTCTGGCTGGGATAGCTCCGCTTACGGGTATACATACGCATGAATAGTGATTCACTTCTCTTTTCGTTTCCTCCATATATATATATATATATATTTCAAGTCGAGAACTTCTACTGATCAAGATTTTTCATTAATTAGCACGAGTTTTTACGCCATATATAGTTAATTAACGCAGGCAACATGCTACTTTCCGGTCTTAAAACTTAGGAGATAGTTGGGGATTTGTTTACATGTATTCTAAATATAAGATATCAATCCATTTTCACTTGAGACATGTAAGGCGGTACTGTCAAGACTTTTTTTTTTTTTTAATTACTCATCTCCTATTCACTGTCAAGACTTTTGATCATCTACATACCAATGACATTGGCGTGCATCTGCAATCTAACTTCAAAATAGTGTTCCATTAATTTTTCCAATAATTCCTATTATGAATTTTGGTCTTGAACAAGGTGGTGTTCCAGTTTGCTTTGAATTTGGTTTGTTGGAACGGTCTTGATCTTCCTACAGACTTGTAGCTTTTCAAGTTATTTTAAGGGGAAATAATTTTTACTAATTTGAACTTTGAAGACAAGATTCATTTTAATGAGGGAGATAATGTCATGAATAGGCCTGATGATGTGTTTTATATATTATTTGAGTAAGTTTTTGTAGTTTTTTCCCTTTCATTATCTGTTCTGAAAACTATCATTTGGATTGGAATTTTGATTAAGATAGAGTTAAGTTGTGTTTTATATATTATTTGAGTAAATTTTTGAGCAAATTACATATACCTAGTCAAACAAAAGTTGAAAGTTTTTATGGTGTACAAATAATTGATGCTTGGAAAGATAGTTCTAACTTCTGAGCAAGATTATTTCCTTTCTAAGAGCTTGACAAACATTTCTGAGCAAGACTTGCATTTATAGGAGGGAGTCAGAGCTTGCAAAGGATATAGCAAATGATGTGGAGACAAAACTTGAATCAATTAGCCCACGTAGCGGGAGAGAGAGCAGCCAAATCGCAACACTAGAATAGGCTGCGTGTGTGCGTGGGTGCATAGCTTCAGTCTCAGGATCATTTTGACAAACTTCATTGCGCACCCAAACCGAAAATTATAGTTTCTAAAACTTACTCTTCAATTCAAATGAAGCTATATCTTTGTACCATAAGGAACATTCTCAACCTTACGCTGAAACTTGAAAAAGCTGTATAAGTAAAAATTTCAGCCCATGTCAATTTTTGTACAGTAACTCATGTCAATTTTGGCCAATGTAATGTCTTCTTTTTCTTTTCATCTTTTTTCTATTTTTTTGAATGCCTTCTTTTTAATTATTTTTCTTCAACCATTCATTTTACATTATTATTATTGAAAAATCTTGTTGAATCAAACTGAATGGCTATATATGCATGATACAGACACACATAACAAACGCACTCGCATATCCTTACCACATGTATATATAATATTTTAAAATACGAGAAGAACTAGCCGACACATGGCGTAACTCCCAACGAGAAGGCTGGAGCTATTTAAATTCTAGGTTTTGAGTTTGAATATGATAAATTAAATGAAAAAACATTTTTTAGAAAAGTTATTGCAATTAGAACTAATAAGGCTTACATTTTATCTTTGTAGTATTAACTATCTTATAATTATATATAAAAAAATACATGAAGGATCGATTTTTCTTTTTCATTTTTTTTAAATGGGCAAATTAAACGGGTCAACGGAACTAAAGTTTACTCGATGTGGAACTTTGCGCAAGTTGGCAAGTGGAATTTAACGCCCACTTGGGCATTTTTTCATCTGCCTATTCCCATAAAATTTCCTGGGTCAAATTTGATGGCTATATTTTAATCAAATATCCTCCTTCAAACTCCGTTATTATATTCTTTTCACATATAAAATTTTATTGAATTATTTTTTTTAAAAAAATCATAAGGTCCCATTCGATGACATGGCAGATCATTGAGAGTTTCAGTTTTACAATAAACTAAAATGAATTTCATTTGAGAAAAAAAAGTTTCTGCCATGCCCCTCACAATGAGGAGCACCCATGCATGCATCTGCAGATTGGTCTCATTTCATTTGGGATGCAATGGATTTCTCATCAATTTAAAAGTGTTTGATAGGATTCAGAGGAAGAAACAGTTGATCAGTTTTTAAAGATGTTTTATTTTAAGGAAGAAGCACCCATGTTTTATTTTTAAAGATGTTTTTAAATTAAAGAACATAAAACATAAAATTGAGATATTAATATAAAAATAAATAAAATAAACTTAAAATAAAACATCAAATAAATAAAGTTAAAGGATAAAAGGATAAAAGTATTTTAATGTCACTAATTTCTTTCGTTTATTAAAAAAGTATTTTAACTGTAACCGCGTTTTACTAATTCAGGTTAGCGTAAACAGTAAGTATTGTCGTCACTTAATTAGTGGGTTTAAATACTAGCCTTTTTAAGTATGTAGCAGTCCTAGCTTGGTGCTATGTGCAAGGGAGAACAACGACTTTCAGATCAGTCTCACACCTTGTAGAAGATCAGTTAGACGCCACAATCCCATTCTGTAGTCCAATATAACCAAGACGTTCACAGAAAAACAAGTTGCTATGGCATCAATGAATCGCTCATCGTCCTCAAGTGGTAATGGTAATGTTCCTCCGGAGAAGCACGAAGTGTTCATCAGCTTCAGAGGAGAAGACACTCGCAAGGGCTTCACGAGCCATCTCAACGCTGCTTTCAGGAGGAACGACATCAGAACCTACATGGACTACAACCTCGAGAGAGGAGACGAAATATCTACCACTCTCCTCAAAGCCATTGAGGATGCTCAGCTCTCTGTTATTGTTTTCTCCAAGAACTACGCTAATTCCAAGTGGTGTCTGGACGAGCTCCTCAAGATCCTTGAATGCAAGAGATCCAGAGGCCAGGTAGTGTTGCCGGTCTTCTACGACATCGATCCCTCCTTCGTGCGTAACCAGATAGCAAGTTATGCAGAAGCATTTGAGAAACATGAGCAGAGATTTAGGCATGACTTGACCAAGGTCCAAAAATGGAGAGACGCTCTGACAGAAGCCGCTAGTTATTCTGGTTGGGATTGTACCATCAACAGGTAATTAACGTGGTTTTCATAATTATAATTTAAAGAGAGTACTGGTTTGTGTTTCGAGACAGTGTGTTTCTTTGCAGGATGGAATCAGAACTGGTTGAGGAAATAGTGAAGGATGTGTTGGAGAAACTGAACAGAGTGTATGTGGGAGACCTGGATGAGCAGATCGCCAAGTATGAACAGCTTGCACAGCTCCAGAACGAGTATGCACGCAAATTACCCAGTATTCAAAACTTTCAGCAGGTTGAAATCACAAAGCAACGCATCGTTCAGCTTCAGATGGAGAGAAATCTTCGCATGCTTCGTCTCACTCCTGACATGGTTTCTGAAATCCAACAATCATCTCCACCCAATAATTATCGTTTTTCTAGCTCGATCTCTCCCGTGATGAAATGTCAAGATTGTTATAATAGAATTCAGGTTTATAAGCTTTTGTTTTGTTCTATTGTTTAAACGGATACATTTGTGTACTGTTGACTACTTCTATATGGCTTCAGCATCAATTTCATTTGATGCATTTTTAATTCATCCCCTACCATAGTTACGCTGTCGTTAGTTCTTTCAAATGTATTTTATTAAGTTGCGTATATTTATAACTCGTATATATCTCACGCTCGATAGTTCATCTTCAAGCGGACCAGCTTCATTTTTTAAAATAATCAATTTTTGGAGTGTTTTCAAACGAATCGGCGGATTTATTAATGGGATTGCTTGATTTTCAGCACTTCTGTTCTTTGTGATGAAAGCAATGCAATAAAACAATGAAGTAGCCAGAGATTGATTGAGGTTATTTTAAATTGGATGAATATTACCGATGCATAACGGGGAAAATAGAGATGTTATTTACAGGTGTTACCAAATTCATAAAAATAAACCTGAGAATATTTTAGAAATTTTAAAATTAAATGTAAAAATAACAATAATTTTAATATTATAATAGTTAAAATAAAATATTCTTAATTAATCTTCAAGCCTCTAAAATATTAAATTATTCTTTTTCATGTTTCCATCACTTACTCCCCTTTTTTCACATATATATCCTTGAATTGTATATAATTTATTATATTTAAGGTTTTTTTTAAGGGGTGATGGTAGATAGAGTTGGTTTCTCTCCACTACTTTTCTCCCAATTATCTTTTCATTATAAATTTGAAGTCAAAAAAGTAAATCTGAATTGTTTAAATTAAATTTATATTTTAAAAATTATTAAATTTAAATATTTAAATTCAATTTAACGGTCGAGTGGTCTTCCCTTTACTCCCTTAGAAAGGCCAAATCTGACAGTACTCAACATCCTATCGTCCATTTTCTCTATTTAATTGAGAGACTTTAATGTTCACATTTTTAGAAGTAATTAAATAGCAATGTGGGAGTATAAACTAATTTTATCTGCATGTTACTCCCTCCATCTCAAATTATAAAATATTTTTAGGTAAAATCTCACATATTAATAAATTTTATTAAATATACTTTAACAACATTATCTTTTCAAAATAAAAATATAAAATTTTTAAAATACCCATCATTTAATATATTAAAAAGAAAAGTGAGAGAAATTAATCATAGAGAGAGAAAGGATAATATTAAAATTGATGCATTTAATAAAATTTTAATTTACTTAAAATGTCTTATATTTTAGGATAAATAAATTCTTTAAAAGTAACCTATAATTTGAGATGAGAGGAGGGAGTAGAAACTTATAATTCAATTTAAGACGAAAGGTAAATTTAACCAGGTTTCAAATTCATAACCCTTTCAAGATCAGTGGCAGGCTAACAATAATTAGCGCGAGAAAGCATAATCATCAACACATAATTACATTAAATCATGGTTCATCTGCCCATATATGTATTGTCAACCTATTTTATTGCGAAAATTAATATCCACACAAACATACCAAGACTAAATATAGGGATATGTTTTCTTATTATTTTTAAGAGACGTAAATTGCTAGTCCTTTTTACTCATCTTAATTATTCACATTTTCCAGTTTTTTTTTTTTTTGAAATCCTTCAAGCTGCAAAGGTGTCTGCTTTTCAAGGTCTTCTTTTTTGTTTGACCAAAATCTCCATTGTCCCTGAAAAATATGGGTCAGTCAAACTCGACGGCTATAAGTATAAGGGGGAGAGACCAACTAGCTCGAATCATTGAGCGCATGGTAAGTTGTATCCTTATTGTTTATCATTATATTAAATAAATTTTTGTTGTCCATGAAAATTCCCTACTAATCAGACCTAACACTTACTTGAACTACCAATTATTTTTAGATTTTTTTTTGGGCCACATCAATTGTCCCTAGAATATATTCCCTCTATTTCAATATACAAGTTTTTTTTGGGAATTTTTTTGTTTCATTTTATATATCCTTTCAAAAATCAAACGTAGAATTGTATAAAAATTTTCCTATTATTTACTTATTTTACTCAAACAATTTTGATTTATTCTACACAATAATTAGGGACAAGTTTGTCAATAATTTAATATATTAATTAATTAATTGTGTTTCTTAATCTATATGCTAAAATCTTAACAGACTTAAATTTTCATTTATTTTCTACACAATAATTAGGGGCAAGTTTGTCAATGTAGTCAATATTAACTAACATGGATTCCTCCGGCTTCGCTGAGACTCTTCTACATGTGTTGGCAGAAAACAAAGAATTGTATATGAGCTTCAATCATTATATAGCTAATATAATTTAAGTTATTAATTTGTTTCCGTTTCACTTCTCAGCGGGTGATTTGGCAACCTATACACATGTGCACGCGCTTGTAAATAGAAGAATTTTTTTGGCCGAAGTAAATAGTAGAAATTTGTAGAAAACTTATTTGCACCCAAATTATCAATTTTAAGACTCAAGCTTCACTCAATTTAATCGATTTTAAAATAATTAAAAATAAATATTTATAAAACCTTAGCCATTAAGTTAAAATTGGGTCTAGGCCATTATCTTCACACTCCACCTATAATACTTGAATCATGAAAGTTAGAAAAGTAACCACGATTGAAGAAGTGCTTTCTAAATTCAAGGAAAATGACGATCATGGAGTTTAGACATAAAGTCAGGACCATTTATAAATAAATGAGCCCTCTCTCATCATCGGCATCAATAAACTACCAGTCAAATTTTCAAACTCCAAGTCTACTACTTTATTTTCAATTTTATCATGTAGTTTTAGCCTTTAGTTTTCTATTGTATAGCCGGCATAGCCTACCAACTCTTTCTTTAATCAATGTATCTCTATTTCCCTGTATCTACATTAATTTTCTTCACTTTGCATTCTTGCATCTAGGTAAACTATAGTAAAAAGCTTAGGTTCCTAGCGTTTGATCAAAAGTAAGGTTCTTTCATCTTTTTAAGATCCCGTGTCTTTGGTACGCCTCACAACACCCCCTTTTTTGCAGAACAATCTTTTGGCACGCTCGGTGGGACCTGTGTGAACGCAATGCCTAAAACACATAAGGATCAATATATTGGAAAGAATGAACCTGAGTCTTATGACTTAGAGAGAACATGGTTGCATATGCAAAATGTGAAGTAAGGGCCTCTCATACTTTAGTGATTGTGGGGCAACAAGCAATACCTCCTCAAGAAATGCCTTACCCACTAGCTCAAGATGAGTCTTAAAGCCTCTCACTTAGGAAAACCTCTTATTATTGTGTCTAATGATGTTGTAACTTTGTCTTTAACCATGATACATGATCTTATCGATAAGCAAGCAATAACCTCACAAGCACTAGTAGAGGAACTCAAGAGATAACATTTGAAAAAGCAATCGAAGTAAGCCAAAGCCTAGGAGAAGTTGGAATGCTAGGCTGATGAGAGGCAAAGAGCTTTATTGCAAACTCTGAAAGATAGCCTAAGGAATATCCTTATTATGCTGTTTAGATCATCAAATGAGCAAGCTCCAATTAGCTTGCACATTCAGAGAGTAGATGGATTTGGGGGGTCTTCCAACATGCCCTTCAATTAGAAGATTAACAATAAGGACCATTATAATATCCCTGAAAGGAGAAATGGTAGGTTTAACTCAATGGTAGGCCCATTCAACCTCCAGGAAAGATAAATGACAAGATGCTGTAAGGAAGAACAATAGTACCATTAAGACACATTTCTTAAAGCCCATCACAAGTGGCACTACTCAGCCAATACTCTCAACAAGTCTATTTAAGAAATGCAAAGAGATCTCAAGACTAGAGCTTGGCCTATGAGTCAAGTCACCATTGAAAAGCTCAGGAGGTAATCTGTACGAGCTCACCAAGAGGACTCCATCTTTAAGATGTCTCTTTAGGCCAATTTTAGACAGAGGAGAAATGGATAACTTTACCTAGGATGTGGGAAGAAACTTGAAAGTTTGTAAAAAACTTAAGGAGCAACATCCAAGGGCTCTAAAAAAGAGATGAACAAGGTCCTAAGCTAATAGTTTCGGTGCCCAGACTGTCAATTTTTAAAACAATAAGGCTTGGCTTGTCAAATTCATTGAGTCCTGAGATATTGTTTGATACGGCCCTAGTACTTGAGCTATCATTTCCTACGGCTCTAGTCTATCAAACTCAAATGGCTTTGATATAAAGGAGTCATATTTTAAGAGATCAAATCCTAACCCACCAATCCCATAAAGGTAATGTCTACAAAGATTGGATCTTAAGTTGCCAATCCTACAAAGACTAACCCCACAGTAGCTAACTTTACACAGGCCAGCACTATAAGGGTTAGAGCCATAAGGGCCAAAGTTGAAAAGGCTAGCTCTGTAAGGGCCCTTTGCATAAGAGTTCTCCCCCCAAGGGCTCTCTTCACAGGGAAAAAAGTCATAAGGTCGAGCCTTGCAGTAACTAGACTTTGCAAAACTAGCCCTTAAGGTCCCAAAACTTAAAGGGCCAATTCTAAAACCAGCTCTTGAGATTCTAAACCTTGAGAAACTTAATCCTAAGCTAGATCATATAGCCTCTAATCCTCAACTATAAGAGTGTCCTCCAAGGAAAGTACCAGATCAATTATCAATCATAACAAGAACGAGCCGATCCTCTAAGACATACTACTCACGCAACACTTGAAAGCGAGGCCAATGAAAATATCCATATAAAATTGGCCTACAAAGGCTTCCACTAATTTGTATGTAGAGGGCATTGTTTGCACCCAAATTGTAAATTTGGAGGCTTGGGATTAACTCAACTTAATTGGCCTTAAAATAATTAAAAATGAATATTTATGATATCTTAGCCACTAAATCAAGATTGGGTTAAGGCCATTATCTCCACATTCCACCCATGATGCTTGAATTATGAAAGTTGAGAAAGTGGCCATGATGGAGGAAGTTTTCCTAAATTCAAGGAAAATGAAGATCATGAGGCTTGGGCACGAAGCCCAGACCATCTATAAATAGAAGAGCCCTCTCTCATCATCAATATCAACAAACTACCAGTCAAATTCTTAGACTCTACGTCTGCTACTTTATTTTCAATTTTATTATGTAGTTTTAGCTTTTACTTTTCTGTTATACAGCTATCATAGCTTGCCACTT